CAATTCATGTAGAAATTTTTTTTAAAAAAAAAAGAAAAATCTTCTAAATTAATTTGTACATGTGCTGTAGCTTGGGACACAAATTACAGGTACCTTTGTTGTAGCTAAAATACGAAACACTAAAAAAATTATAATTCGAGTAGTGTTATTAAGTGTATTACGCACAAAAAAAAAATAAAAAAAAAAAAATGTAAGATTTAAATTACTTTAGAGGATTATTGTTATGTCTATTTTTAGACTTCATTATATAGGATTAAGACATGGACAAGTTTTTATTTTTGAAAAGGATAAATTAAGTTATTGAAATTTATTTACACGTGTTATAATTTAGCTCACTCTTCCGATGAATATCCAGGCTTCGACCCTAATTTTTCCTTTTGAAACTTCTGGCCCAAAAACACATATATTAAATTATATGTGCTTTAATTGGTTCACAAATAGTTAATTATTTTTTTGCTAAAATAATTACTGATCAGAGATTATTTAATTTCATATAAATTACATTTCAAAAATTACCCATTAAAACAATTGTCCCTCATAGGAAAATGTTTCAATATAATTTTATTCAATTATTTTTTACTAAGTGAACTACATACAAATTATCCCATGAATAAACAGGGGGTGTGGTCAACAAAATTTGACAAGAAACGCGAACATTTGGGAAACAACCATTCATAATTCTGCCAAGCAGGAGTTTACTTCAAAAAAATCCACAATTCTGGAAATAAATTGTTATTAATATTATAACAACCATTGCGAGTCATAGATTGTTCCTCAACAAGGTTTCATCAATATTCATCTCGTTGTGAATTAACAACGTGCTTCTTGAAACGTAAGAGTTCTAATCAAACTTTGATGAACCTAATTAATTCGTTTTAGATGCTTATCCATGGACCCATCAATAGATAATGCTCTTTCGTTCCTAATAAACCACATTGTATGACAGCGGGTCTATTGCAAGCTCTTTTAGGTCAAACTCATGGCGTATTGGGTTCAAATTTAAAGTTGCTGTCAAATATTTAAAGATCGTGAATTGTGATGAGCGATTGAGCATTAACCCGACAATAGTCACTAAAGAACAACTTTGTTTGGTGGCCTTTCTTGAGGTTATTAAAAGTTTTGAAATGTACTAGCAGTCAGGGTGGTAATCACCATGTTCATGAGCTAGCAAAATTATTATAGACATTCATATTATTTTAACCAACGTTGTCTGATAAGAATAAGATGACAACTTTCATCAGTACAAAGGACAATTTTCTAGTAGGGATTCCGAAATAGGAGTAGAAATGTTAATAAATTCAAATAATTGTTGGTTGGCTTTTCCAATTCCATACATCAACGATTTCTTTAATGTCTTCGTCTACATATGAGCACATTACAATATGCGTTGTGTCAAAATTTTGTAATTTTTTTTCAATTAAATGCCAACTTTGTATGGTATTTTTATTTACTGTCGCATCAGTAGCTGTTGGGCATATTAACTCGTGATAATATGAGCAGATTAAGATATATATGCGTACTGTTCATGAGTCAAAATTTTGTAATTTTTTAATTACATGCCAATTGTAACTGTGTATGGTACTTTAATTTACTGCCACATCAATTGTTGGACATATTAACTCATGCTACAGTGAGCAGAAAGAACTCTTGATATGTGTGTGTGTTTATAGAGGTAATAGATATTAGATTGGATGTGCAAACAGGAAGACCAACCATATGAAAGACTCTTGGATGAGGCCATAAATCACATGGCAATATCATATATGAGGAAGAAAAAGGAGAAAGAAATAAGAAATTAAGAAAAAGCAAGAAAACACAATATTTTGTTCCACACTTTACAAGGAAAAGATTGACTAGTGATAACATTAAGTGTATATCAATCGAAGCCCAAAAATATTTCATTATTGGTTAGCATCAGCATGGCGCAGAAGAGGATAACCCACATTAATNAAACATGACAAGATGGATCAAAAGTAATGAGGCTAACATTATTCATTCAACCCTATAAAAGTTTGTGCGTGTGTGGGTTTGGATTCTAAAGCGTTTTTAGTGTGTGTTCCATAGTTAATCCCATGTTTAGATTCCCCCTTTTGCGAAGGTAATGTTGTTTCATGCTCTCTAATCAAACAAAAGAAAAGTTCTTCCTAGTGATATTGACTAATGCTAATTTTTCAGACAAATGTTGATTGGCTTACATGAAGATATTAACTTTTAGCCCATCGTCTCATGTCGCCTAGTTGGCTAGCCAATGGGGCCATTAGAGGAGGAACATCCGCTTAACCACCAAATTATAATTATAAGTTAAAACCTAATAAAAAAATATCATAGATTTGGTTTTGCTATTGGTTCTTTTATTATTATTATTATTATTATTATTATTTTTCAATTATTATTTTGTTATTGCTATTTGCTAGCTTTCCATTTGCTGACATAGAATTTATTGTCCCTAGTCACATATCGGTATATTAGGAATTCTAAATGGCGGTGAACCAAGCAATGTGGGGGACATATTCATGTAGAGGTTGAAGAAAATATAGATGTATATAAATAATTAAATATATATATATATATATGCGAAATATCCATATAGGTATAGATATAGACATGTAGCTTTAGGTTAGAGTTGCATGACTTTCTGTTCAATAGAGGTTGGTGGAGCTTTGCTAAATTGGAAATTTTTTAATCTTTGTCTAGATAGTGATTTGAGTTTTGACTCACTGTGACGTAAGAAAATATCTATGTATGTGGATAGTGAATTGTGTGATTAGAGTTATCTAGAGAGGTGTATTAGTTGATATATTATATTGAAATGGTTGATATGTATGTAATAGGGAATTATCTAAAATGACCAATAGGGATTTTGAATTAATAATTTTTCATACTTTTCGCTGAAAAATATATATTATATTAGTTTGTAAAAATAGTGCAAAAATCTAAACTGAAAAAATGATATAGATCACTTTATATTGGATAGATGATAATCTTTAAACTAACTCGCATATATTAAATTTGATTAAAAAGAATCTGACCAATTATTAATAAATAAAAAGGTATTCATATAATATATTTTGGGTGTAGTTTAATAAAAAACATCTTTTGAAAATAATATATTTTTTTAGAATTTTATGAAAACATTGTTGGTTTATTTGAAGTCCTAAATGAACTCTTGAAAATTAATTTTAAATCCAAAAAAATAATATTTATCAATTAATTGAATATAAATTAGAAAATGTGATGGGTCAATCATCAAAATTTACTTTCAAACCTCCCATTACTGACAAGAAAAAAGGCTGCAATTGTATTACCACTATTTATTTATACCATATTCCATGTTTCATTTTTTATTTCATTCTCTCTTTTGAAATTGCTTGTCATGTGATTTGCACACATTACACTTAANTTGCAGAATTATATGAGATTGCGGCATAGTGATAGAAGCAGAAAAGGCTGGATACACATGTATTTTCAACCTATGATATAAGAAGTATACAATTAACCGCAAAATATCACAAGGCAAAAAGTAGTAAAATTAATCAATAAGGTTTGCTTAGATACATACATACATACTTATAATAAATACATATATTTGAATTTGGATTTAAATTAAATAGGCAGGAATTAGATTGAACTGAATATGATTGGTCCCACGTATCTGCACCTACAAAAGGAAGGTAGTGTGTCATGTCTCCCTTGGAATGAAGAATAGCAACAGAATTCTCATAATTGTGTTTCATTCAACTATCCTTTTGCCCCCACATTTCTACTGCTTTGTCCTGCACCCAAATAATCCTTGCTCAATAGTTGGTGCTGGTTACAAGTATCTAGACATTGTATATATGGACACGTTTGCCAATTGCCATGAATTAAAATATGAATCATTTTTTATTTTTTTATTCTCTCATTAAATTTCCTTATGTATTGTTTGTTCATTTATTAATATAACTCACAATACGTCAACCAATTAATGCAGCAACAGATCGACATAATATACACAATGGGTATGATGTTCAAATATCACGAGATGTTGACACGAAACTGATGGATATGGGGGTATTTCTGTAATCAATTGTCAACTGGGAAAGGGGTACAATTGACATTTCTGATGGGCCCATGGAAAACACAGCCCTACAATGTAGCCCAATATCAATATCTGGAATCCTCCCAATTATGCTTGAACCCAATTATTACTTTTTATTTCCTGAAGAAAATGTGTGAGTGCATGCTCTTATAGTGGGGAGTGTAAACCATAATGCACCAAAAAAAGGATAAACTAAATGGGCACCAAAATAAACCTCACCTCAAAAATCCATGGCATATTATTTCTGCATAGGGCCAAGTGTTCCAACTCAAGATGTTCCCAGATCATGGGCCACTCCACAGTGGTAGTAAACTAGTAATGTCCATTGTCCATGTATCTATCTCCCTCTGAAAAACTTCAGACATCACTTCTGATTTTATTGCTGTGGGGTTCCTAAGTATTCTGCAAGACAGTAGGAGTTTAAGGGGGAAATACCATCACATGTGCTAAAACAAAATGTTCAAGAACATAGAAGAATATGATTATAAAGTACTGGTACATTCAAGTTTTATGCATTGAACAAGATATATGGTGATAAATCAGTTAGTTCTGTCACAGGGACCACCACATTGTAAGAACATATAGCATTTGAAATAAAAGGTACAAACAGCACGATTGTACTGGGTGTACATCACATCATACATAACACATCTAGATAAGTTTAAACCAAATGTACAGCAGATAAAATGGAAATCCACGCCACTAACTACATATCTCAAAACTAAATGATTATAACCTAAAGTTAGAGATATGATGACTGAGAGTATTCAATTTCACCAAGGTCTTGGAGGTAAAATCGAGACTTTACCATTCCTGAGCCAGAGGCCAGAGCAAAAGGCCACCATATTTTCTTCCAGACTGAAATTGTACTTGATGGGAAAGCTGGATAAACTAACTATAACTTTCATATCTCTTGCACTCGTCAAGTTGAATGGGGGTCTCGTGTAGAATATAGCAATTTATTTTCCAATGGATCGAGCAATGAAGTATGGAACGAACGGGTGGCATCTGATGCAGGAGCACGTGAGTGCTTCTGCATGAACCTATAATGCAACAATTATATTACAAAACTATTAAATTTGAACTAGAGACAAAACTTGGTGCATGGTCCTTGTTAGATGACAGGGCTGTATTAATCTTTATACACGACTTCTCATGTATGTTACGAATTTCAGCAATATGATAAATACCATAGGCCTTTCTAGAGTTGACTTGATAAATTCCCAGTAGCTGCCACGCCACACTACAAAGCATTTTCAAAGTGTGAAACTGCAATGAAGACACTCAGTTTGACACTCTGAAATAAGGCTGCACATATCTCAACTAAAATCCCCATACTAGATAAAATTTCATCACTCGAAGTTGCTCCTATAGGCCACTTCCTACGTATCTTCTATAGATGAAAACAGTCGCTCCAAAACTAAACTATTAATTGAATACTTTCAATCTTCACAAAAACAGAAACAGGTGAAGAAAATGGGTCACTAATCACTATATATCACATACTATAAGGAGACTTACCTTTTTAACCCTCTCATGCTATGAAAGTAAATAAAATGTAAAATAACCACCAATTATCTTCCTTAAAAACAATAAAATAAATTGGATCATTTGAAGTTATTGTATAGACAATACCCTTAATTATTATATAAATAGAAATCAGAGGGCGCACCTACTGATCAATGAGTAACTGAGTAAGAAGCATAGTACGGCATTCCAGAACACCAGAATTCTACCTGATTTGATAACAGAACTTGAAGTGAAACATCCCATACAATAACCGAGTTCTCAGTAAGGTTGGTTTTGGACACATCTCTGACAATGATTAGATATTTGCCTCAACCATGAACTCTACGTCAAGGATGGGACCAAGATTCCAAACATATTCATGGACCACCATGCCTGTCCTAATATCCCCCAGTTTGAGTTTACCTTACGACTGCCCAGAAGAAAGAGATTACAGTTGTCTAGACAAAATTTTACCACTTGTACAATTTAGTTCTCCTTGAAGATCATAACCCCTATTTCATCTCTTCACGCCTTGTAGTGATACTAGGAGGCACTGTCTTAGGTTGTAGAGATCCTACTCCCTCAGTATGACCTTGGAGTTCTTTAGCAGGTTCGTGCTAGCGGACATTACATGTCGATTGCATGGAAGACTTGATCATCGACTATGTCATGAAGAAGTTTTCGGTAACAAGAAGCAAACCTTCAAATTTCGACGTCAACCAGCATTGGGCTCATTAAGGATGTCACGACAGCGGTTGTCCACAAACTCCTGTGCTATAACATTTTTGGGAAAAGGGAGGCGAACAAGGTGAGTGACAAGGAGCTTTTTTTTCTTATGGGCCATGCGCTTTTTTCCTATGGGCCATGTGCGCAGGAAGCCCGTGTCTTCGATGGCATTCGTGCAAGACGTTGCTCATCTGTTAATAGCTTGACTTGACATCTGTTCAACTTCAACCATAAATAAAGAAAAACACACACAAAGAAAGGCTAAACAAACGAAACAAAACCAGAAAACTTAAAACCTATAAAAACTAACTAGCAAACAAATAAGAAAAATAGCAACAAAAATAGGACAAACAACCTCCATTCCATTTTCAACATAAACTAACCTTGATGTGCAATCATAACCCCAAGAGAGCAAACATGTATTGAGCATTTTACATCTTTAATGGCTGCATGGTGGTTATTTACTTATTTAATGCACATGCTTGCTTTGGTCCTATGCAAGATCCGTTCCCACTGATGCTAGAAGATGACCTGAAACAAAGTCCAAATCATATCAAAATTTACAGCACAAAAAATAACATGTACTGTCGAACAGAAATTGCAGAATTGGTTCATTCAAGAAAGGGAACAGGATTAAACTCGAGATTTGAATTGTACATATTCATAAACTATATATTAACACAATGCATCAGAAACATCACATTCAACCATGGAGAATTTTCTTGCTTCTAAGTTGCTTTTTAACAAGTGTTATATATCTTTTAAAATGAAATACCTTCATATATTAACTATAATATGAAACACTTTGCAACTACATATTTCCCCTCAGCCGTTCATTTAGGATTAGTTCTTAGCTCAAATCAACTATGCCAAAACGTTCGATCGAATATAGTACTGCAAATTGACTCTCGATCTAACAACAGCTTCCAATACAACAGTCTCTCGGAAAAGCAATTGATACAAATAACATAAGTATGATACGAGAACAGCAGAACAACCCTCGAAACATACAATGTTAGTGATCAGTACAAGACATCTAAAATTCGACCTCTATCAAACATTACTATTTTATTGTTATAGCTAACATAAACACATTCCGGAAATTAGCAGTTTATATGCTTCTTAAGAGGAACAAGATCTTCACATCACAATAAAAGTGATTTATTTTTATTTTTTTTAGAATCAGAGCTTTTGATTGAACCTGGAGACGGTCGACACATGTCTGATTCGGGTCGTTCTGTTTCAGATCGGAAATAAGGGCAGCTCTTTGAGGCTTACATGTGCATCTCCCGGGTACCGGAGCTCAGGCATGGAAACTCGGACGGCGAAAAACTGGCATTTGTGTAAACTTTGACGATCAAGTTTTGGAGGAGATGATAGTGGATGCGAGTGCCCGGATCCGTTTCCGACGTCGACGCTGCCGTCATCTTTATCGCCGGGAGTTGTTGCTAATGCTTTGGGAAGGAAATGACGAAATGCATTTATTATAAATTAAATCTATATATATATAATAAGAATTAACATTTATAAAAAATAGTAGCAAAAAAATAGTCAAAATTTAATGCAGTCTATAAATAGTAAGTTTTATTATTTTTTTTATTTTTTCTGTAAAAATCATACAACATTAAATGTTACCTTAAATTTCGAGCTTTAATTCATTTTATTATTTAAAAAATCCGGCTAATATTTATTAAGTGTGTATGTTTTTATTTTTATTTTTTCTTAGAAACAACGAACAATATTAAAATCTCGGTCTCTATATTTATAAAATCTTAATTCAAAATATAACAAAAGTTTTAGAATCTCGGTCTTTATATTTGTGCCTTTTAAAAAAAAAATGAACGCTTAAAATATTCTTTAAATTGCATAATCAATCAATTAATCTTAATTTTTTAAAAATTACTATGCTTATTTTTTATAATATACATAAAGTAAAAATAATATTCATCTTTAGATATATAATTTATAATCTTAATATACTATCATTTGGTGTAGACATTTATTATATGAATCATAATATATTTTTATTTCATAAAATTAAATATATTTAAAGAAAATAAGAAAATTTCTTCGGATCAATCGGGTGATTGAATTAGGGTATTGTCCAGGTTGATTGAATTACTTTTATGTGATATTTAAAATAGTCAAAAAACTTAACACAACTTTGTTGGTCCCAAGTGATTAAGTTATGTATCAGTTCGACCACACCAAATCGATTATTGAACCTAAATATAAATTTTATATTGAAAATATTTTATTACATGAATGTGATGTAGTCAAAACTTCAAATAATTGTATTAACAATACTTTTATGACAACATGGTTAATGATTTATGAATATTTATATATCATTTTATTAATATTTATGTGAATTAAATAATATTTTATTATAATATTTATTAATGTATAGTAAATATAAGGTTTTCAAATAATCAAGCTATATATAGTATCTTTTGTAATAAATTTAAATAAAATGTGTTACTTAGATATCTAAACAATTTATAAATTCAAGTGTTTAAACAAATTGATAAATAATTTATAAATCTCTATTTTATTTAAATATGTAGTTTTTTTTAAAAATAATTTTAAATATATAAAAAGTTATTTAGAAAATCGTATCGATCCTACCAGTCCAACCGACTGGTGTTGACTGATTTGAGAGCAAATATTTTATTCAAGCAAACTAGACTGGTTACAAACCGGTTCTCAGTCCATCCGGTCGAACTGTGTCCAACACGGTTTAATTTAAAAACAATGGATAAATCATGATTAATGTTATTTTATATTTAATTTATTACAATCTTAATATTGTTTTTCCGTGCATCGCACGGGCCACGCACTAGTATATAAATAACATTAATCATGATTTATCCATTGTTTTTAAATTAAACTGAGTTGGACACAGTGCAACCGGATGGACCGATAACCGGTTTATAACAGTCTAGTTCGCTTGAATAAAATATTTGCTCTTGAATCCATCAACACTAGTCGGTTGGACTGGTAGGATCGATGCGATATTCTAAATAAATTTGTTATATTTAAAATTATTTTAAATAAAATTACATATTTAAATAAAATAGAGATTTATAAATTATTTATCAATTAGTTTAAACATTTTAATTTATAAATTGTTTAGATATCTAAGTAAAACATTTTATTTAAATTTATTACAAAAAATACTATATATATATATATATATATATATATATATATATTAAAATGCTTATAAATTAAAATATGAGCAAACTACAAATGATTTAATAAAATAACTTGATCGTTTCGATGACTGTGTTGTTCTGAAAATATTATATTTACTGTATAATAATAAATATTATAATAAAATATTATTTAATTTACATAAATATTAATAAAATGATATATAAATATTCATAAATCATTAAACATATTGTCATAAAAGTATTTTTAATACGATTACTTAAAGTATGGACTACATCACATTCACGTAATAAAATATTTTCAATTTCAAATTTATACTTAGGTTCAATAATGAATTTGGTGTGATCGAACTGATATATAACTTAGTCACCTGGGACCAACAAAGTTGTGTCAAGTTTTTTTACTATTATAAATATCACCTAAAAATAATTCAATGAACCTGGGCAATACCCTAATTCAATCACCCGATTGATCCGAAGAGATTTTCTTATTTCTTTAACTATATTTAAGTTTATGAAATAAAAATATTTTATGATTCATATAATAAATATCTATACCAAATGATAGTATATTAAGATTATAAATTATATATCTAAAGATGAATTAATTATTTTTACTTTATGCATATTAATAAAAAATAAACATAGTAATTTTCAAAAAATTAAGATTAATTGATTGATTATGCAATTTAAAGAATATTTTTAGTGTTTAATATTTTTTTAAAGGCACAAATATAAAGACCGAGATTCTAGAACTTTTGTTATATTTTGAATTGGAATTTTATAAATATAATGACTGAGATTTTAATGTTGTTCGTTATTTCTAAGAAAAAAAATAAAAATAAAAACATACACACTTAATAAATCTTAGCCGGATTTTTTAAATAATAAAATGAACTAGCTCCCGAAATTTAAGGTAGCGTTTAATGTTGTATGATTTTAAAGAAAAAAATAAGAAAAATAATAAAACTTACTATTTATAGGTTGCATTAAATTCTGACCTATTTTTGTGATACTATTTTTGGTGAATTGTAATTCTTATGATCATCAAGGGGTGTAATTTTTTTTTTTTCTATATAGGGGGTTTTACCTGGCTCGCATCGCAGCCCATATTTCTTACTTCGACTTTATCTAAAAAAAGCCCATGTTTTGGATTGAGTCTTTATGGTGGCCCAAGTACATACTGTCCCACTAATTAAAAAAATTGAAAAAATTATTCTCTTCAATACTTATATTTTATTTCTAGACGAAAATTTGACAAGTTGACCCATCTAAAAATTACGTATTTTTATTTTTATTGTCGGATCTTTAGATGAATATGAAGAAATGTATTATTTAAAAAATCCTAGCTGAAAAAAGACAAACTCATATTTTTTGGATTTGGAACCACGAGAGTTATTTCTTTTGATCTCTATTTTTTTACCCCTATTAGGTATTGGCTTGGATTAGGCTCCCAGGGATGCCCGTTCACCTTTATCATAAGCGAGTATTTTGCCGAATCGGACAAAAGTTTCATTAGCCCCTGAGATATTATAAAATAAAATGATTCATTAATAAAACACATATTTACAATCGGTTAATTAACCGACTGAAACAACTATAAAACTAAATTTACAGAGATGCCAACACGACGAGAATGTCTGTCGCCTGAAAACTGCTAAACTAAACGCACCCACAAACTACAAAGTAGTAATATGTGCTCACAAAAGTAGAGAATGCTAACTCAAAAAATGAAGAATAAAAAACACGAAACAAAACACAAACATAGACAAATCTCACCAAATACTAGAATTAAGTCCTCCAAAACAGTCAGTAACAGTGCCACCCACGAAAGACAGGCCCACGCCCTAAAGGCAGAACCCGAAACTCCCAACTTCACCACAAGGGCATTATGGCTAACAAGGAACCACCAAACCTCGAAGTGGATCTCCCTTCCACAAAAGTCACTCCAAGAGCACCCAAAACCCAAAACTTGACCACTCCCCCACACAAACTCCACCAACTGCGTCAATCTTCGGAGAAAAAAAGATGCCGCCACTGGAGAAAGGCCATCGGCCCAACCCTAGGGAAACCTGTAGGACGACAGGGAGAGAGAAGGCACTGGAGCGACCCCCACACCACAGAAGCGAAGAGCGCAGCCCACCATGTCGTCAGGGCACTCACCACGACCATCCACAAGAGTGAGCATCGCCGTACCAGAGGGAGACCGGTAACGCACCGGAGAAGTTGACGGCTGCCTCATAGCTTGTCTCCTTCGCAATGGGGCAGAGTGATCAGTCGTGGGGAGGCACGTGCTCACACGAGGGTCCCGAATTTGAATTGGGAATTTTTCAATTGAAGAGAGAAAAAAAAAAACTAACAATTATCTCTANAAAAAAACATATTTCTGTTAAAAAAATTACGGTATGTTGCATAGTCCTGTAAACGAGCTCCTCGAGTCCTTAACAAGCCTAAATCAAGCTCAAGTTCGGCTCGTTTATCACTAATAACAAGCCGAGTTCGAGCCTTAACAAACTAATCTCGAGTTTTAACAAACTGCACTATAGAAAATTATATAATTTTTTTTTTTCGAGTCTTATCAAGTTGAGTCGAGTTCAACTTGTTAATCAAACGAGCTTTAAATGAACTCGAGTTTGACTCTTTTATCTAACAAGTTGAAATGAGCCGTACTCGAACCGAACCGAGCTGGACTCATTTAATTTAACAGAGTTGCATGAGGAATTATGTTAGCGACAAAATAGTTGTTCACTTGGCTTTCGGTATTGTACGTCCAATTTCTGCTCCGTGGATTCCCGGCTAACTCGCTCTACCAACCCGAATCTTCTCCTTCGTAAAAATCTACTGTCTGTTTCAAGGGCCTCTCGCTGGAACAATACCCCTTCGAGCTTCCCTTTGGAATTTGGGATTGTATTTAATTAATTAGAGTAAAATCCCTCTTTTCCATTGCTTCATAGATCAATTCCCCTCTGATTTTCTTCTAAGTTACGTTCTCGCCTTCTGGAAAACATTCTTCCGTTAACTCAATCTTTGCCTGTGCTGCATTATAAATGCGTGTGTAGATTGATGTTTACAGAGAGAAGACAAAAGAAGAAAATAGTTCTTCAACGGCTATATTGAGCTGTTACGACAAAAAGCTGGAACCCCTTTAATCTCTATTGCTTTGGGGTCCATTTATTCTACTTTCGTTTTTTTTTTTTTCTTTAGAACACCTTAATTAGTTAATTACCACTATAATATTATCGCCCGGGTAATTTCGGAGTTAGGTTCGATTAATTGATCAGGAAGATCGTGATTTTTCGATTTGGGCGTGTGATGACTTACAAGGCAGCTGGTGAGGATGCTGTGTCGGGGGGAGATTACGTGAAATTGGAGGAGTGTCAGGCGGAGACGTCCTCGTCGGGTTGTTGTGGCGGTGGTATCGATGCCGGTGGCCGAGGTTGCTGGTGGTCTTGGTGGTGGTGGGCAAAGCTGGTGTTGGTAGTGCTGTTTGTTGCCGTGTTAGGTGCGGCTTTCTTCAAGTGGGTCGGGCCTTTCTTCATGGATAAGGTTAGTTTTCTTCTAAATTACGCAAGCTCGAATTTTTTCCTCGTGAAATTCAGGAATTTATTGCATACATGTATACAATTTAGTTCATATGCTACTGGTTCTTTATCTTCTTCTTCTTTTCTTTTTTCTTCCTTTGTGTTGGTAGGGTTGTAATTTATTTGTCGGTGACTTGTGCCTTGACGCTTATAATTCTGATCTCAGTGTTTTACTCTCGATTGAATCGGATTAGCCTTTCTGTGAAACTGCTTATGGTGTTTTTGCAGCATTCTGAGTGTATTTGACGTGATGGGTAAACTTGATATCTTGTCCACATTAATGGAAGTAACTGCATTGCTCTCTCTCAATCTCTCTCCTCTTTGTTTATGGTGGTGGTCGGAGTTGGGGGGGTTCAGTTCTGAGTGATGTGGCTTGACCTGTTCTGGTCTGCACTAGAGAAATTAGCCAAATTATGTAAGCTTTTCACCATCCATCTTTTGATGTTATGGATGTGTTGAGCTTGTATCTCTATATTGGTGTTTAGGTATTTGGCTCATCAGTTTGACAGTAGCTTAGAAATACTTTTGTTGCTTATCTCAATGTGTTGCTCTCATAACCTACTGAAGATCAGAACGTTAGAATCTCATAGTTTTGCTCTGTCTTTTGTCTGTGCATTGTTCTGTGGTTGATTAATGCCTTCATCGATATCATTCACTCATTTCCACTGTTACAATTTCTGTTGCCAACACGATAATTTTATCCAACAATATTCCGTAGTCAATTTTCAACAAAGCGTGATGTGTAATTTTTTTTACCCAGGAAATCATCCCCATTATAATTTGGGAGAGGAAGACATTCAGCACAACAATGCTGGCACTCATCGTATTTGGTTCTCTTGCAATATTCCCCTCCCTTCTTATACCTTCTACACCGTCCATGTGGATTGCTGGGATGACTTTTGGATATGGTTATGGATTTCTGCTTACTATTGGGGCTGTGGCTATTGGCGTCACTATTCCATATTTCATTGGTTCACTTTTCTGTCATAGAATCCATGTATGGCCTCTCTTGTCCATTTTTTTTTTTTNTTTTCTGTGGATTTCGCTCTTTGTGTGGTTTTTCTTTTCTGTTGATAACATACTTTTTATATTTCTCGATGTAGGCGTGGTTGGAAAGGTATCCAAAGAAAGCTTCTATTATACGACTGGCCGGTGAGGGAAATTGGTTCAGTCAATTTCGTGCTGTTACTTTGATTAGGATTTCTCCTTTTCCTTATATCGTGTATAACTACTGTGCTATGGCTACTGATGTGAAGTATGGCCCTTATCTGTTGGGGAGTATATTAGGAATGATCCCAGAAATTTTTGTTGCACTTTACACGTAATCTCTCTCTCTCTCTCTCTCTCTCTCTCTCTCTCTGTGGTGTGCAAGGCCGAATTTCTTGACTCGTGATGTGTTGTTTGATTGTAGTGGTATCCTCATCAAGACTTTAGCCAATGCTTCACATGACCGGCATTCTCTATCAGCTCTTCAGATTGTGTTCAATGTCATAGGCTTTTGCATTACTGTGGTCACCACAATAATCGTCACTCTATATGCAAAAAAACGTCTCAAGGAACTCCAGATGCAAGAGGAGCTATTATTGCAGTGAATTTTGCATAATATGTATATAAGTCTATTTCCCTCTAAGTTTTGGTCGGTAAAACATACACACCATGGTGAGGTTATAAATGTGAGATTATATTCTTTGGAATTATTTTC